AAAAAAAAAAAACGAAAATGAACTGCAGTCACAGTAATTTTTTACAAGCTTTTGGAGTGAAAATTTTAAAATTATTTAATAGCTAAAATTTGTATAATGTTTAATTTTCATAACCGAAGCTTAAAAATATAATAGAAGGTTGCTCATAAGTAGTCCACGATGAAACTAAAAAAATCTAAGATATAAATTATCACAATTTTTTTATATAGCCATTTAGAAATTAAATTTAGACTTAATTATATGTTTTAACGAAGAATAACAATTTTATAGTAAGCACCTACCTATGTACGATATCGGCTTATTGTAATTATAAAAAAATTATTCGTGAGTCTTAACATTTTTTATTAATATCTATATATTATTGTTTATTATAAGTAATAAAACATTCAAAACATTTAGATTAATTTTAAGGTATTTATAACACAAATAACAATTATATTTACACCTTTAGTAGTTCTATATTGACTAATAAATTAAATTAATGTATGATTTAAGCTGTGTTGTTAAATGTTGATAATTCAAACACCAAACTCCCCAATCGAATTTCCTTTGAAATTAATTTCACTTTCTCTGAATCAAGTCTCTGTAGGCAGGAAGAGCCGGTAGGGGTTACAAACACCGGAATCGAGTAATCCAGGAACTATATTTTAGTAAAACTGATGTTCTGTGCGATTTAATTGCTGTATATAAATGCGTGCGAATAGATGCGTTGATAACTACAACACGTGTTTGAATAATACAATATATATAATTACCCCGTATAATCTATTCCCTTTGTAATCGCGTGAGCGAGGTTTTGTAGTGAACAATTATTATTATATAACGTGTAGGGGAATGCAGTCTGTCATTACGCTTGCGAGCGTTTAATAATTAATTATAATACTTAATAAAAAAAAATACCCTAAGTTTAATACCTTTAGTGCCCTGTAGTATCTACCTATAACAAAGTTATCGTAGTTTAACTTTAATTTGGGCTGTAGCTCAAAAGCGTTAAAATAAATATTTCATAAGCGCAAAAAAAATACCTTTTTAAAAAACCATAAGCACAAATAAATTTGACAAAAATAAAGTGATTTTTTTTTTTTATAAAAATCGTATTGTTATTAATGTTAGGTTTTTAGTGATTATAAAATTGGTCTATCGAACAAAATAGACAATTTGCGCTTTTGGGTTACATTGATCGCTAAGATATATTTCTGTTAGCCATTACTCGCTGTTGTCTATACTTAAAATTATTATACACAATAATGCACTGCTACCTTTATTTGTAAATAATATTTGTTAAATAAATGACATTTCAATAGTTAATTTTTGAATTATAATTTGCAAACGCAAATGCATACAGTCGAAATTTCACTCGAATTTCCAACATGTTTCAAAATAAATCGAAAGTTATGTAATAATCTATATAGTTATTGAGTCAAATACTATTCGATATAAGTTTATATACTATATACATTGTATAGTAATTATCTTAAATGATTATTAACCGTATCACCATAATTTGTTACGATAAAATATGATACGATAATACAAAACTTCAACTGAACTTGATCACAGCTGATGTATTTTTGAATTGTATAAATATTAGGTATATACTTAATTAAAATTAATAATTAATAACTTTAAAATTAAACTTATTCTGTAGGTAACGAATATAATAATTTATTTTTACGCTTTTCTTTTATTCAACTGCTAAGGTACAAAAGCGCAAAACAAATTTGCGCTGATGGTCATCGAAAAAATTAGACAATATTTACGCTTTTGGGCTTCACCGTTAATTTAGATTACCGGTACGAAAATGTTTACAAGTTCATATTATTAATATTGTATATTTTAAATTCGAAATTTTGTTAAAAGTGTTCATTTCTCAATGTATCTTGTCATACAAAAATCTCACAAACTTTTGTACTTATTAAATTCATTGAAATTTTGATTTGAATTTAACAGAATATGCATTAATTAATTGTCTATTCATTTTATGAATTATAATATTATAAAACAATTACTTGAATTTATAATTATACTCTTAAAAAATATTACTGATTTTACATAATCTAAATTATTTATAACATATATTATTTTACACCACCATTTATATTTGATAGTAATGATAATGTTAAAATTAGGTTATACCAATGTTTGTTTTTGATAAATTTAATTTTAACTATATTACTAATAAAATTATAAATTTAATAATTTTTTTTTATACACGTAGCTATTTAAGTGATTTTTTTTTTTTTACTTTTAATACTATGGTAAGTTTGTATAACTTTTTACAAAAATATTGCATTAATTATTATATTATTATAATAATATATATTTTTAATACCTATATTATATTATAACTGATACAACATAAAATTGAATAAAATTTTTCTGTAAATGCCGTAAAAAAGTAAAAATAGATTTATAATATAATATTTTATAATATAATTTTAATATAATATTATTATATTAATATTAAATATTATAATATATAATATTTAATTTATAAAATAAATTTAAAATGTTATTGCTTATAGTAAAATGTATAATAATTTAATATACGTAAAAGTTTTAGATTTCTATGAATAACGTTTTTTAATTATAACAAAATAATTGATATCGTTATTTATTGTTATTTATCATGTCTATTAATAGCTCAAAAAAAGGCGAAATATTTTGAAAATTTTATCATAAATAGAAAATAATGAAATAAATATTTGGTGCATGTCTCAATTACATCAAAGAAATAAAATCGATTTTTATTTTTAAAATTGATTT